GAAGTGCTCATCAGCTTTGTATCAAGGCTTTTATATATTGCACAGCAATCTGTTGTGTCTGCAGCAAGTGGAAGCTCCAAAAATCAATGCACTAAGACTCGAGGGAGAAGAGCCTGATATTTGTATTAATAGGGCTGTCTGAGTGTTTGGACAATGCTAACAAGCTCCCTGAAGCTCTGCTTCAGCAGGGCTCAGTGTTGACACTGGGGGACATTTTCTGAGTAACAGGCTCCTCCTACACTCGTGCATCTTTAGAGAAATGTCCCCCAGCACTTGAAGATACTGTTACCCGCTCACCTTCCTTCAGCTGCATCCCCCAAGCCCGTTATCAGGGCAGCGGTGTGTTTTGGAGCCAGACTGGCGATACGGGAGGTGTCTGTGCCGGCTGTGATAAGGTGGTGCCAGCATTGATTCCTGCTGTCACTGGCAGTATGTGCTGACAGCGAGCACTCACAACAGCAGCTGAACTTTGCCTCCTGATGTGCTCAGTGCTGGTGCAGCCACTCAGATTCACAGCCCAGCCCCTGAGGAGTATGCTAACTTCATATCACTTCATTCAAAGCTATTTTTACAGTGCTTTGCCTCATTCTGTGACTGGGGTTTTTCTTTCCTTGGGTCATCTTGATCTAATTATTCTCAAGGAAATGAGGGCCAATAAAAGAAAACATTTTGCTATGAATACACGTGTATTTTAAAATGTAGATATTAAATGTGTTCCCTAAGCAAATAAAAACCAGTCAGCTTATGCAACCAATACTATAGTTGGAGTGGCAAATTAGAGTCTTAAACATATTTAAATTATGCTTGCCAAAGGTATAGCTACACTAGTATAAAATAACCACTAATAACCAGGGTGGGAAGAAAAGGATGCTACTAAGTTCAGCTCATACATTCTGGTAACTATCCTCATCTGCAAAATCATGTTAGTATAACCTGTCAGCATGGATTGCAATCTCAGATTTAACAGTTCTTCATACAAGCTCCATAGCAGAGTTTCAATAATGCTACTCTTCTCACTAAGTTCACATGGGGGCAGCAAGGCATTGCTTTAGCAGTGGGAAATACAGTTTTGCCTGAGAAGTGACTTTGCTGGGGTAAATGGAGAGGATACAGGGATTTCAACTTCAAGGTGATTTATTGGTAAGTTAAAAAACCTATGAGCAGCAAAACAAACTGTTTTTGAACTGACTAATCCCCTACATGGGGTTTCATATTGGAATGGATTCCTTTATTTTATGTTATCAGGAAGAGGAATCTCTGCTGTTGAAGTGTACAAAAAACAATAAAATCCAGCTCTTGTGGTAAGCATGGTTTGGCTTTTACATGCCAAGTCATCTAAACAACAGTACCATGATGATGAGTTGTAGCTGAAGATTTCAGGGTATGTTTTAATTTACAGTTCTGATTTGCAATGTTATGGACACAGCTGTAGAGCCAAAGTAATTCTTGATAAGGTTGCAAAATTGTTTGACAGTAATGATGTTTCAGTAGGTATGTGAGCTAAATGAAATGAGAAAGGTACATATCTTCCTGTTTGACATCCAGGGCTGGGTAATGGAAAGCAGGTAATCTCACTTGTGGCCAAGTGACAAGGCTACCAAGAATGAAACTGGAAATTCCAAAGAGGAAAAGAAGAAGATATCCCTCTGCCACCTAAAGTTTATCTCCAGTGGGTCAAAAAGAGAATAGGAGCTGCTGCCTCCTTAACATCTCTTAACATCAAGGGAATGTGGTGAGCTGCAACAGCATTGGTTGAAAATACAATGGGGAAAGCAAAACATCCCTAACAGTGAGAACTACTTACACACCCACAGAGGCTCACAGCAGCTTGGAGAGTTGTGTTGCAGGGTTTTCCTTTTCCTGGCCCTAGGAGAGATTCCAACCAAAACAGGCAGAGATACAGAATAAGGTGAGAGGTCTGTGTTCCTCTGTTATCTTAGAGGATTTATAGGATAGACACCTAAAGGGGAGCCACAGCAACTGTTGTTGCTTACTTAATTGTTACAGTTTCCTCTAATTTGTCCTTTCTTTTCTTTCCTTCCTGTCTGATGGGTGCTGGCACAGCCAGCCCCCACAAATATTTGTGGTCCCTCACTGTGAATGGCTCAGCAGCTCAGACTCAAGGTGGGGTGTCCTCATTTTTCCCCCCTCTTGAACTGGGAGTTGTTCAGAATGAAAGATGTGCTTTTCTATTTATCTCCCTTTTCAAGCCTTTCTTATTTCTGATTTTTTTTTTTTTAAAGTAGAAGCTGTTGTATTTGCAAAGAGCTCTAGCACATGAGGCCTGCCAACCCTAGGAAAGCAAAGCACTGTGCTCTGAAAGCACATAAATACTTTTGAAAAATTTCCATCTGGAGAGAGACTATACTAGAAAAACAGCGAAAATGCCCTTGTTATAATAAGAAGAATGTCTGTCAATGCAGAGATTGAATGAATTTACAAGGTACGAAGATACCGGTCTCAGAGAGCCACTTAAACATATGGTGGTGATTATCCCACAGCAGCTCTGCCTTCAAGGATCAGCATCCAGGATGGGTAGTGGCACAGGCAGCTATGCCACAGCTCTGTGCTCAGGCATACAGGTGTGCAAGTGCTGCTCTCACCACAGCTGGACACTGAGTCCTATAGAGGTTGTAACACGCTATAGATGGAGTTAGCCCCTATACTGCTGCATAGAAAGTTTGCAGATCAGAGCATTAAAAATTATGTGGAAAATGCACTCCATCAGTTTCAGACAGCTAGCAAAAAGTACTTTTAACCCTTATTTTCCCTGCACTAAGAGAGACAATTGCTCTAAGAGAAATTATTTTTCAGGACTAGCAGAACAGCAGGTGAGTTCTTCAGATTCGTGAACTAGAACATCCTGAGATTATGCATTTGGCTGGAGAAGGGCAAAGAATATTTCTTCTGACTCTAAGACCTCAGAAAACTATACCTGGTAATAGTACTACAAATTCAGAGACTTGTAGAAAAAAAATAAAGCTTAAGCAGACAATAGAGATTTGTAGACTGTGTGATCATTATGGAATACATGTAGGCTTTAAAAATCTTTTCCCACTCTAGCATCTATATGATATTTTAATTATATCTAAAAGTTGGACTATGCTCAGTTTGAGGGAATGTGATGTGTTTGGTGTCCTACAAAATCTGGGATGGGTTTATTTTATATTGAAATAGATTGAACTTATCTATATAATATAATATATAGAGATTGCTTGACATGGGAATATAATGAGATAATATAATGAGATTGCTTGACATGGGAAAGCAAGTGAAAAAGTGGCAGAGTAGAAAAGACTGTTGCTATATTTATGTGTTTCCACATATTTTGGTTCTGGATTTTTGTATGCTTTTAAATTTAAATCATAGGGATATTACCTGATCAGCTTGTAAAGACAGTGAGGGGGGGAAAACCCCTACAAAAAAAACCAAAACAAAACCGTCCGCTAATTAGTCTATTGCTAAACAGGATCTAAAGCATTTTGTAAAGTGCCAAATGTTTTAAGTTTCACAAAAGCATAATGAGGTAAACTGTTATCTCTGCTGTTATCCAGGCAGGTTAAGACAAAACCTGAGCTTGAATATATAAAGTACCTGTTACAGATAATCTCTGCAGGGAATCTGGTGCTGGCATTTTGTTATGACCAAGGCTCCTAACTTGGAGTACAGATAGGTTAGATTAGATAGTCTGCTTCTGACCTCTCTTCTCATAGTCTGGTTTTGCTATTGAAAGAGAACCACCTTACTGAGTATCGGTGAACCATCAATTTGAAGGACAGGGCTGGGAAAGTATTTTGCTTGCCACGTATAAAAGAATCAAGAAGCTGTTTTTCTTATTATGAAACTGTGTGTCTAACCCAGATTTAAAGAAAATTATCTCGTTGGAAGGCCTCTGTGAATATAGGCATTTAACAGCTGCTGCGCTGTCACTTCTGGCTGCCAGACATCCAAAGACAGGTCACCGGTGGGAGCTCATGGTTCTAACTCCTTCCCTAGACAATCCCCTTCTCTCCCTGTGCCCTGTGGTGCCGTGGGGGACATGGGCTGAGTGTATGAAATCTGTCATTGGCCAGGACTGTCCATGGTGGGCTCCACGTGCTGGAGCTGACAGGGGAGATGACACTCAGGTTTTGGAATGGAGCACCTTAATCTCCATCAGTTGAATCGCTGCACGTTTCTTCTCGTTCACCGAGCTGGATTCACTGGGTGATGTAAAACCTGTCATGCTGCAGCTCCACTTCCCATCTTGATAACTACAAACTTTTGCAAACGTTAGCTGCTCTGGGTTACTAATCCTCTCTGAGGTAGGTAAGGCTTGAAGTGTGTGGGAAGCACCTCTGCACCCTGCCTTGCAGCAGCACAGTTCTGGCCATGGGCTGAGCTGCAGAAGGGCCGTGGCTGGGAAAGAACTCACTGGGAGCAGCAATGAAGTCAAAGGGGCAAAATGCATTTTCTGGACCCTAATTTGAGTAGAATCTGGCGCTCCAGACCACCAGCTCAGTGAAAGCCTGTAGCTGTCAAAGAGTGGCTGAAATGAGAACAAAAGAGGGCATGGAAACGCAGAAGGAAGGGCAATAATTTGAAGAAAAGCTTGAAGGAATGAGACAAATACACAACTTTGCAGTCACCTTCCTCCCAGCGAAATGCCTTAACAACAGGATTTAAAACCAGTGCCCCTTATCAGAGCTCCCCTGCTTGTGCCTTTTCATTAAAAAAAGTGTCTTTGTACTTGATGCAATTATTTTAAGTCAGAGTTGCGACTGGTGTCACGAGAGATGTCTCACAGGGAGCGAGAAACCACAAACTTCCATGACGCTTCAGCAGCTGAAGGTGCGTCCTTGTGCCCGGCCTTGGGCTGCCACTGACTTTTAAGAAGTGGTGAAGCAAATTGACGCCGCAGGTTTGGTTTGGGTGGCGGTCCCTGCGGTCCCCGCGCTCCCGGGGCAGCGCTCCCGCGCCCGGCGCTGGTGCCGCCCCGTCGGGGGGGGCGGGGCAGGCGCATGCGCACTGGGTCTCCCCGGCCGCCTATAACTGCGGGCGCGGCGCCCCCCGCGCAGAGCGGCGGATCGGGCGCGGAGCCGGGCGGGGTGCACCGGGGGCAGAGCGGCGCGCTCGACCCGCTTGATCCGCTCCGTCGGTCGGAGGATCGTCCGTCCCTCGCCCATGGGCGCGGAGGAGGGCGCGGGCCGGGCGGGCACGGCGCGGCGGCGGGGAACGAGAGCCGAGTAGCGGCGCTCCCCTCCTCCCCGTGCCGCTCCGCCGGTGCGCCCCGGCGGCGGCTCCGCACCCCGCGGACCGGTCCCG